AACAGTTTTCTCCAAGGAAAGCTCTGCTTGGAAAAACAGAAAGGAAAATGAGGAGTGAAGATAAATCTTACCTCGGACTCGTTTCCGAATTTGCTTTATAGCCTACACAATTCACTTTATTCTTTCCGAGTTCCAGGCTCAGATATCTTGATCGTATCCTCTTACTTTCTGTAAATTGTGTCTGGAAAATGACACCTGCTGGGCTTGTCTTCTTTTCCTGTAACTGGCTGGAACTTGTAACATAAGGGAAGAATTATAAAAATGAGCAATGTTGCTAAGTATTGGTTGAAAGCTGTGCCTCAAATGAATACAGTTTTTGTTAAGCTCTGGGGTGACTGGAGTTTGGGTCTTCAGCAAGAACAATGAAAACCATGAGAGAGAAATCTCCTAAATGCATAGTGAAGATGGTTAATATATAATTTAATCTGAGTTCAGATGTCTGAAGTACCGATGGAGTCTAGCACAGATAAAACTGCAACTGCTTTTATTACTGGGCTTACATTTTCAAAAGGTGTTTTTTAAATCTGTTTCGGTGCATTTTCTTTCACGGTGAGGCAAACTGGGTATAGATGCCGATGTTGCTTTTGCAAGGTGTTCCAGCGATTAAACCGCGGGCCACGAAGATGCTCAGTAAAACGGGGTACTGAAAATCCGAGTGTAAAAATGCATCTTCTATGCAAAGAACGGCTACGAAAAACCTTCAAGCCCCAGTTGCAATACGATGTCCTCCATCATCACGCAATTGTTGACATCAGATTGAGTCAGTGAAAGTGGGTCTATTTTTCTTAGGGTAGTTAAATTGTAAACCTGGGGCCATAACATTACAGTACACCTTGGTTGTAGGTAAGATCTGCCAATTATATAGGAAGGAGTAGTTATGCTCCACAAAACAGATCCATTAGATCTGTCTAAGGCATTACATCTGAAGTAAAGTTCTGTTTATCTGGGATCCTTCTGGCTTAGCAACAGTGTTTAGTTCAGGTATAATATACTCTATCCAATACTTTGTACAATACTTTAGTCAAGGTGCAATAACTGTAATCAGTTAGCTTACAGTTAGGTTTCGGTACTGTTGGCTGGCAGAGAGGCCCTTTTTTACCCAACTTATGTCAGCAAAGTGGGAACAGCGTATATTGGGCTGGCTGACTGAATGAACAAAGGTTTATCTTTTTTTCTAGTTTGCAACATCCGTTCCAGCTCTTGAGAGTGCTGCTTGCCGCCCCACTAACTGAGAGCATTCAGTGCCTGGCTAGCTCATCTTTCAAGAGCATGAATGAATTGCTTCATTGGCAGTAAGGTAGAAAGGGGAGTTTTCCCCATTCTTCTCTACCACTTTTTCAGCCTCATGAGCTTAATCTGTTCATGGGCACATACCTGAGCCATAGTCTACACTCTATTGCAAAGTTACAGGGCCAGATCATTTAGCTGGGGTAGAGTGGCATATCTTGATGTGGGTTCCCCCAATGTCCCCTTCCCCCCCATTCTCCTTTCTTACAGCTCTGTGACTCCTGAGGGGATACCATAAGCTTGGGAAATGAATGCACTCAGATTATTCCAAGGTTCGAAGCCTTCCACAGCAAACGTGCATGTTTAGTCTTGTATCTTAAATTGTACATGAAGAAATAATAGATAAGAATGGAAGTCAGCTCTAAAATAGCTTCTGTCTGCCAAGAGTCTCAAAGTATTTTCAAAGAGAGTAAGTAACAACATCCCCGTTTTACAGATGAGGGAAGTGAGGCACCGAGGTGAAGCAATGAATATATTCCAGGTCAGTGGTGGAGCTGTGAATAGAAAATGAGGTCTCATCACAGCTCCCAGCTGCCAACCCTGTCTGTTGGACCACGCTGTCTTCCTTTAGCAAGAGTAAAATGTATTCTGCTCATACCTGGGCAAGCGAGCTTCTTGAGGTGCATACCTTTTAAAGCAGCAAATAAGCTGTTTCTGGGAAAATCCACTCGTCTTGGCAGAGAGCTGAAGAGAAGAAACCAAATGAGATTGAAGGTGAAATGCCTTCACAGCTGGAATTATAAATTGCAGAGCACCTAGAGATACTTGCAATCTGTATTTGTCCAAATGGTGATAGGGGTGGGAAGGGGAGAACTGACAATCTACTGCTAGGGCACAAATGTCATGATGCTTCATATGTTCCTGTGATGAACCCACTAGGAGAGAAGAACAGACAGAGAGAAAGAGAGAGAGACTGCATGCGTGCGTCCTTGCGTGTGTGTATTCATGGAAAATCCTACAGCATTTTTTGGGTGGGGATGGGGGTGAAATGAGCCAAAAATCAAGAACAAAATGTGAAATAAATACCAAAAAAAAAAAAAAAGAAACGAAAAAAGATCTGCATTGCTGATCAAGAAGTTGTTCTGTGAGCTGAGACTCTTTGGTTTCTGCTTCTGAAACCAAAAAGAATTGGAAGTGCTATATGAAGGTGTGATTCTTAGTCCCTTAGATTCAGGGCAGATTGGTAGTGATATGAGCTTTCTATCCACATTAGAGATGCACAGTGGAACGATGAAAAGCTCAGTTGAATCTCTAAAAAGATTCATGAGTAGCATCGGTGAGCAACAAGTAGTGGATCCACAAATAATTGCACCCAGCAAAAAGAGGGACATTACACTTTTCCTGTGCTTTTAAGAATCTTGCTTTTGAGCTCTATCCTCCTATTCATGTAGTATCTGCGAGTCTCTGTCACCTTGAATTTATTCAGTAGTTGAAAGAATTAAGTTGAGTTGTGTAGTAATTAGTTAGAATTGATTGTGAACGCTTCTGTTCTCATATTCGGTATTCATTCTTTGAACTGTTGGGAGGTTGTGATTTTGATTAGATAAATTACAAAGTACTTTCTCAGCATGCATTTCTAATGCAAATACTCGGGCATGTGATTGAGAATTCAGTTTTTGAAAATAAACTTGTGGGTTTCCAATCCGTCTTCTACAAATGTTTGTGTCAGTAGAAATCTGTCATGCAAATAGTCTCAGAAAAGCCAACAGAAGAGGGGTCAGGAGGACAAAAGCCAATTATTTTGTAAATTCAAGCAATTGGAAGTACAATGTATGTAAGTAAAGTTATGGGTTTTTTTCACTGTTCACTCAGATCTACTAAAATCTGCCCCAACCTTAGACAGCAGTCTGTTTGTATCAGGACTTTGATCGGGACTTGTATGATCTACGCCATCGGAAAAGGGCATGATGCATTTGCAGATGCATAAAAAGAATGGGGGTTTCTTTTTTACTTTCATGACTATAGAGATGAATCCTCATTATGAACCAGTTTGAAATGCAAGAAAAATATGCTAGCTGACAAATAATGTTGGCTGATGAATACGTAGGACAGCCAAGGGGCTTTTAAAGAACTAAGTGAAGATCTTAGACTCCAGTTTTGCAAAGGCATCCCATGGAGTTCTCAACTGGTCTTAGACCCTTAACGTTTTTAGACTGTAAATGCTAAATCCAGCATCCCTCCGGCACAAGATTAGGCTTGGGGGCCTTGATGACCATAGCAGCCTTGGTGGTGTGAGCACCTTTTTACCTAAATGTGTCCATCTTTGCATCCTTTGCTTACAAGTTCCTTAGGGCAACTTGTGCAGCCTCCTATAGCTTTGTGGCAAGCCAAAATACACACAGGCAACTTAGGGCCCCAGTAGATGGAAAGTTAAAGGCATGATGGGACCTGATGTACAATCCCACAGTTGCACTTCCTGCCACACAGGCATGGCAGGAGGCATGCTTGTGGGATCAAGGATCAGATCCCATTGCTCCTTACTGCAAGCGCAGTGGGAGCCAGAATCCTGATCTTGGCCTCCCCCTGCACCAGCACCAGCACCTCTCATGGCTGGGGTGGACCCAGGGCTGGAGGCTGGATCAGCTGAGGGGAGCTCCCAGCCATGGGGGTGTAGTGGAGCCCTTGACTCTGATAGTCTTGGAGCTGCAATCAGCTGATCAGCACTCAGCCTCAGGAGTCAAGGGAATTAAGGCTCCCATGGGCCCTAATCAGCCTGGTCACACATTCAGTTAATTGTGTGGTAGGAACCACCACAAGGTTATTACCAAGGGATCTGGGTTTTCCATTTGCATGGAAAAATGTGGATTTTCTCCTTTAAAGAGTAGCTCCCTCAGCTGCCTGCAGGTAAGTTGGGGCAGGGGAGGGGGTAGAGGATGGGGGTCCCAAGGTGAGGGAGGGAGTGGGGCAGAGTTGGCATCTGGAGCTGGGGGTGCTGCCCAGCCAGCTTGCTGCTCGGGGCTGGGGTGGGAATGCCCGGCCGGGGAGTGGGATGGAGCCACAGCGGGCTTGTCCAGAATGGCAGCAGGGTGGCCCCTGGCCCTAAGCCTGCAGCCCGCCATCACCCTGTGCACAAATCTGGGGGTACATGCCCCCCATGCCTTCCCCAGTGTGCGCACAGCTGTGGGGAGCTGGCCCACTCCCCCCCAGATGGCCACCCACAGCTATGTCCCATGCCCTGCCCTGCCCCTGCCCCAGCCCCATTCCCTCCCTCATTGTGGGGGCCTTGATCTGCCCCCCCACACCCTTTCCCCACTGCAGCCGGATGCTGCTCTCCAAGCTGCTGGGCTGCATTCCTGGCCGTGAGCACGCTGCGACTGTGCGTATGCACGTGGCATTTATCGGTGACATTATTGGCTACACGGGCCAAAAAAAGCTGATTGCCAATAATGTCATTTTTTCCTTTAATCGCTGGCAATCCAATATGCACCTTTAATATTTTGTCATAATTTTGTAGCTTATTCCTTGTTTTATCACACGATTAGTTGCATTAACCTGTGACTGTGTAACTGCTTAGGGTGCGATTAATTGTTTAATCATGTCTTAAGTGTAACCTGCTAGACAAGGAGCTGCCACCATGGTTTGGTTTGGCTTGGTTAGACCCCGGCCACGCTCAGACGAGGATGCGTCTTGCCATTTGCAGGCGAATTGAAGGATAATGTAAAAGAGGAGAAGCCATCCACGCCAATCTAAAGCTCTGCTTCTCTCTCCTGCAGCTCAAGCCAGGTCAAAACAGCTGCCGAGACAGTGACAGCGAAAGCGCCAGCGGAGAATCAAAAGGCTTCCATCGAAGTAGCTCTCGGGAAAGACTCAGTGACGTAAGTAAAGCTTCCGTGGCCAAATACCGCTTTGATTTATACCTGTCAACATTTATTGGAAGGGGTAAGTCTGCACAAAATCTGGCCTACAGCAGCAAGTAATTCCTAAGCTTCCCCTCACGAGTTCACTATGAGGCAGCTTAAGCTCTCTTGCCCTGTTATAGGATGAAATACTCTGTAGTAACAGTATCTGTTTGTAGATAGCTTCTCATTTGCAGCCAGTTGAAAGACAGGATTCAATTCATTTTGATACGTTACAATGTAGTGGATAGCGAACAATAGTAGCATAGCTTGATAAGTAATACCATCTTTTTCCCCACTGGGGAAAGACTGAGAATGTATTTATTGTAGTAAATTTAGTGCTTAGGAAGAGTATGGAGGAGCCTGGGGAAACGCCAGTAATTTTTATCTAGTAAACTGATATAACATGGTCAAGAGTAGCACGAGATTCACCTTTCCTGTTCTGCCAAACCTGCCCATGAAAAAGTGAACAGCAGTGTTAGGGCAGTAGCTGCACACAAAACACCCTCTTTCACCTGCAGAGGGGCAGAGTACGAACCGTTCACTGAATGGGCTAGGCATCAGGGATTCAATCCACACCTATAATAATGACTGTGGGTGCACGGCAGACCTCTTGTTGCTGTCATTAGATCAAGTGTAATAATCATTGCACCATCAAGTCTAGGAACTTCGTTCATGAGCCAGGACCCCGCTGAGCTGTACACTGTACCGAGCGATGCGTGACACCTTCAAATCTTTTTCTCTTTGCTTGCTCACACAATTTTATGACTTCATCTCCCCCAAAACCTGGGTCAATTTGTATGGGTCATGATACTGTTTAAAGTGTATAGTTTAAAGCCTGCCCTTTATGTAGCCATGGGTTAGAGGATGCTATCAATGCCATAAGATACAATTAGCAGGGAAAAGAAAAAGCTAAGCAGAGAATAGATTATTTTCTGTTTACTTAGATGGTGGTCAGACCATGGCACTTCACTGTTTCTGTCATGACTCTGCCCTTTTACTTCCTCCCCATTGCTCCAGCTACACAAGCTGCTATAGTTTCTAGGGTACTTTTCCCTCTGGCATCCCTTTCCCTGCCTCAGGGGGTAGGGTGGTGCATCATGGCACTGCCTAGGGAACCGGAAAGGTGTGATGCAGCAGGGGACCCCATGGCCCAGGAGCTTAGAGTGAGGCAGGGTACCCAGGCACACAATGCAGCAGAGAGGGGGTGGCACTGGGGCACGTGGTGAAGCAGGGGGCACTCCAGGGTGCACAGGCAGTGGAGCAGTATGTCGGGGCGGGCAATTATTTTGGGCAGAGGGCCGCTTACTGAGTTTTAGCAAGCCATTGAGGGCCGCATGACAGGCAGCCCAGGGCAGATGCATATTAATTTTCTATTTTTTTTAGGGGCCCCACGGGCCAGATAGAATGGCCTGGCGGGCCACATCTGGCCCGCGGGCCGCATTTTGCCCACCCCTGCAGTATGTGGACCCTGCTGGTGTAGCCCACAGGACTGCAGCCCCTGGCCACTTGTAAGTTGGACAGGCAATGAAAAGGAGGAAAGCAGTTTTGGCTCCCATTATACAGCCAAGAGCTGATGTGGGGAATCACACTGTCAGCTAGAGGAGATCTCAGTAAAAACCTTGGTTACGTTTTAATTTCTTTTGCTGAAGTTTGATAGTAAGCCTTGTCATGCTTTGATATCATGGTACAGCTTCAGCGTGATTTTTAGGGAGAACCCCGGATCGCTGTCCAGTGCTGCCAGTTCAGTTGAGACTTAACAAACATGCACGGGATAAATACCTTGTTATCTGGGCCTGTGGTGGCCTCCAGCCTTTTTTTCAGATTCTTTCAGTTATGAAAAGTAAATACCATTACACATTTCTCTTTCAGTCTCAAGCAGAAACCTTGTTTTTTTTTTTTTTAATTTTCCCAGATAATGGCTGTGATGCTTTCCCTTCTAGCAAAGTGTGATCCTGCCTTGAATTTGTGTTCTTGTGAACAAACAAAGCTTAATAGCTTAATATAGTTATTTAAAATAATGCATTTTAAAAGGTGTGGGCTGTCGGAATATCTCCCATTTTCCAGTGTTGATTGCTGTGAACATAACAGTAGATGAAAGCCTCTTGGTTTCTTTCCTTTCTTGCCTTCTTTTAAATCTTCTCCAGAGTTTGAGTTTGGAAAAAAATACACTGTGTGTGTACTCACTGACGATTGAGCTAAGATTTAAAATATTCCATTCAGATTAGCCCTTGAGGTCAGGAAACCGAGTCTTGGACTTGCAATGTAATGAATCTTCACTTCCGTAGTCATGCAAAGTTTTAATAGTAGGCATGGCTCCTGCATGGAAATGCTTAATGGATAGAGTTCGTCTTTTCCAGGCAAATAATCAATTTTCAAATCCCTGTTGTAAGCAAGCTGTTAAAACATAAATGTGAACTTCATGAGCTTTAATGTGGAGCTAAAATGATGGCTTAGTGATAGACATGGAGAGAGGAAATAGTATAATGAATATCCATTGGCAAACTGACATGTTAGTAGCAACGTCCCCCCTCCTATCAAATACCTTTCAACTATGCATGTTCTGAATGTGCCCACAGTCCTTGGGTAACACAGACCGAGACCGAGCGCGTTTACAACAAAAAGCTCCTTCGCAGTCTAATGAGATCCAAACAGGTAATTTGCAGCACTTGCAAAACCCATGGTCAAAACTGAAAAGAAAAACAGCACAATGCAAAAGACCATGTTAAAAAGGAGACTTCTCTCATAATGAGGCATGATATGTCATCAGATAGCAGGAAGCGGAGTTGCCCTATGTTCTTGTCAAATGCAAAGCAGTGAAACTAATTTCTGTCACCACCAGACATACTCACGCGTGCACGCCAGCACACACGTGCACCCATCTTCAAAAGATTTAATTAACAGAGCATTTGAACTCTGGTAGATTAGGGACACCGATTTCCTGATTGTTCTATTGCAAGGGTTTGGCAGTGATCTGATAAATCTCAGTGTCCGAGTTTCTTAAACCTTTCTGTATTTCTGCTTCTGTTGTCTGTTTTGGAATGACAACTTGTTTTCCGCTTTCTGGTTAGAGCTGGCTGCAGGGCTCTAGAAGAGAAACTGGAGATCTTCTGTACAGGGTGTGGTAATCAATTTGATCTCATCAAAATCTTGCCAGTAGCAGAATTCATTCTGCTGAGATTTTGCTTGAAGACAAAATGGTGGTGCTTTCTCTTTTCCTAGCTTGGAATACACTCAACCTTTTTTTCCCTTTGGTTTATTTGTTTGCTTGTTTATTGAATTAAGAGCCTCCCCTCCCCCTTTTTAGATTAGTCGTGGTCACCTTCCATGCCTCCATTTGCAGAACAGGTATGGGAGTACTTGGAAAATATTAGTGTACAGAAGCCAGTGAAGCTTGATGGAGGAAATACAAACTCCAAATATTAGCCTGAGAGCTACTGTCCCAGCAATAGTTACTATTACAAAAGGCGGAAAGGTTAACATACTGCAAAACAAAATAACTCCGACTTTTGTCTTGATCTTGAGCCCTCTGTTCCTGCCCCAACAAAGCACTGAAATGCAAACTCAACTTTAAGCACAACGGGCACATCGAGACGAGCATAGCCGTGCAGCATGTGATGCTGCAAACAGATTTGCACTGGCACATACCGCAGTCTGGTGTTCTCCATGCTGTGAATGGGGATATCCAGGAGTGAAAAAAATCCGCGGTGGGGAAAAGAAAATGGAAGCATACATGCTTGGCCAGCGCACACTGCTGAAAAGTGGAGCCAGGCCACCCGGAGCCACGCTCGGCTGCCAGCCTGGCTCCGTGTGGCAGAATTGCCATGGCTGCAG